TGCAGGAGGGAGAAATAGTTGAAACACCACAGCAGTAGCCGGGGCTAGTTGCACCCATGTAAGTGCGACGGATGGTCTGGAGGATGAGCTAGCAGCAGCAGCAGCAGCAGCAGCAGCAGCAACAGCAGCAGAATGTACGACTGACGGCTGGCGAGATGAGCATGTTAGCACTGTTGCTGCTTTCTAGCAACTTGGAGCTGCTGCTGCTGCTGCAGCAATAGGGACACCAGCGGCAAGGCTAGCCGTAGTAGGCGGGCGGAGAAGCAGCAGCAGCAGCAGCCGCAGCAGCTGCGGCAGCAGAAGCTGCAGCGACAGAAGCTGCAGCAGCAGCAACGGCGGGCTGTACTGCTGTGCTGCTGGAGCATTCTTCGCCTCTTAATGGGCCGGAGTCTCGCCCCCATTCGTCATCGCCTCCTTTGTGTCGCGCTGCTGCAGCAACTGCAGCAGCAGCAGCACTTGCTGCAGCAGCAGCTGCTGCTGCACCTCACTGCAACAGCAGCAGCAGCTCCAGTTGGCTTGGCCCTAGGCGGCCAGAATTTGTTTGGGTTTTAGAGTTCTGTGCATACACCATAGATGACTCGAAACAGCAGCAGCTGCTGCTGCTTCCCGTGCTGCAGCAGCACAGCGCCGGCCAAGGTGCAGCACCAGTTCAACAGCAGCAGCAGCAGCAACAAAATCGGCAGCAGCAGCAGCGACGGCAGCAGCAGCAAAGATAGAGGCCTGCTGCTGCATTCTGTGGTTAACAACAGGGCCGACGGGCTTCACCACAATTTGTTTCTTACAGCCTTTGTGTCTCCCACGGGTGCAGCAGCAGCAGCAGCAGCAGCAGCAGGAGCTGGGACTGCTGCTGCTGCTGCTGCTACGAGCTAGCAGCAATACCTGCAAATGTAGCAAAAAGAAGAACGAGCATTTTTTGCAACTTAGAAAAAGCATTGAAAGCCTGAGGGTTCAGGGTTTAGGGAAAGGATGTCATCAGGGTTTAGGGTTTAGGGTTTAGGGTTTAGGGTTGGGAATGGTAGGAAAGCAAGAGCCCAAATAGAAAGGACGGGCGAGCAAGTTTGTGCTGCTGCTGCTGCTGCTGTCGGCGTTGCTGCTACTGCAGGTGCTGCCTGTAGTTGCTGTCTGTGCTGCTGCTGCTGCTGCTGCTGCCTTCACATCTCGTGAGGCAGCTGTTTGAGGTTCCGACGGCGTCTGCTAGCAGCAGCTAGCTGCAGCTAGCTGCTGCCAGCAGCAGCTCGCTGCTGAGACTTATGGGGGCATCGCAGCTAGCCACGATTTGCTGCTGCTGGCTGGGGTGTTTCAAAACCCCAAACCCTCACGAGGGTTTTGCTGCTGAAGAGCTGCGCCTGGGGCTGCGGCCGCCTCGTGCTGCTGCAGCAAGCTGCAGCTAGCTTTGGCTAGCTGCGGCTGCTTCTTGGTGTTCAGGAGCGTGCAGCAGCAGCAGCAGCAGCAGGATTAGCAGCAGCAGCAGCAGACCATGCTGCACGCTTCTCTTGAGAGTCTTGACAGTGTGGGGGCTCTCATTGAAGAGGATTTAGGGTTTAGGGTTTAGGGTTTAGGGTTTTGATATAAACCACAGGCTAGGGTTTGCAGCGAGCAGTAGTACAGAACACATGGTGTCCCACGAAACGCGATTATTTGTAGAATTAGGGTTTAGGGTTTAGGGTTTAGAATTTAGAACTTGTTTAGCCCAAAGTGGAGTTTAATACGCTAATAAGATAGAGGGGTTGGCTGCTATGTGTTAGAGGAAACTCTTAGAGGTTTAGGAGCGCGCTGGGGCACAGTTTAGGGTTTAGGGTTTAGGGTTTAGGGTTTAACGTTTGGGATTTAGGGTTTAAGGTTTAGGGTTTGGGGTTTGAGTGTTTAACAACGGTTGGAACGGCCTTCTACTAGAGACTCCTTAGTTATAACTTAGCCTGCAGCCGACCTGCCCAAGTGAGTCAGAGTTGCTGTTATCAAAGCCGTTGCTGCTGCTGCTGCTGCTGTTGCTGCTGCACGCCGCAGCAGCAGCTGCTGCAGTGTGAGAAACTGCTATAAGTACCGATAGGCTCTAATCCTTTCCCTTTTTTATTTAGTTAACTTATCAATCTCAACAGGAGAGTTTGTGTCTATCGTTGTATGCTAACTGCAGCAGCAGCAGCAGCAGCAGCAGCAGCGGGGGGCCCTTCAAATCGTACTGCTCCGCCCCTATCTTCTTCACTTGTTTCTTACATTAGCAACGCGACAATGATGTGATGGGCGAGAAGCGCTTGCATCTTTTGTTTAGGGTTTAGGGTTTAGGGTTTAGGTTTAGGGTCTAGGGTTTGGAAGGAGTGGTGCGGACCAGCGGCTGTGTCAGGGCCAGCCCAACCGGTGCCCTTCTTCCTCTCAGCACACAGAAGCAGCAACAGCAGCACGAATAGCAGCTGCAGCAGCAACAGCGTTGGCAGCAGCAGCAGCAGCAACTCTGAAAGGAAAGGAACGAAACCCTCAGCAGCAGCCAAGCTCCGGCAGCCGCAGCAGCAGCAGCTTCTGGTTTATGTTTCGGGGCTCCAGGAGCTGTGCCCAGGATGTTGCAGCAGGAGCTGCAGCAGCAGCAGCAGCTGCAGCAGCAACAGCTGCAGCAGCAGCAGCTGCAGCAACTGCAGCAGGAGCAAATGCGTCCCCTGGATGCCCAGCGACAAGCGTCGCTGCTGTTTGCGCTCCAGCAAAGTGGAGAGGGCCACTTTGTCACTCGATCCATTGTACGCTGCTGCTGCTGCTGTTGCTGTTGCTGCTGCTG